CGGACATTGGTAGTGCGAATCAAGTGAAAATTGCAGGAAGGGGGAAGCGCCGAGCTTCCCTGCCATAGTATGCTCATACGCTGAGCACCTGCTGAGCGCATTTGTGTGGCGCACCATCCCGGTTGTTCACTCGGATCACACATCAGCATCTGCGTTTATCTTCGTTCATGTCGGACGTTTCCACGAAGATTTCACTCTGTCCATGGTGATCTGTCACATGTGATTGACCACGAGACTTGTATATACCCTCACAATTCCTTGCTGATCCATTCATTCTCTTACACCATTTGTTCTCTTGAATGTGCGACTCCGATTCCGGAATGCTTTTCGGCCGGTTTGTTTGAGCTGTGTGTTTGGTTTGGGCAACCATTTTCTCGTCTGTACTTGATGCAATTTCGATTTCCATTCCCTATCTGATCGCTGTGGCTCATAAACTGACCGGCCTATGCATTTCTTTCAATTGTTCGTTTCATCCACTCCGAAAAGGGGTCCATCAATTTGTATATTTTCAGTAATAATAAAGTTTGCATATACGGTTATTTTGTATATCAATGAATCCTCAAGGTATCATGCCAAGTGGGGTTGATTCCAGTAGTTTCGTGTTCACAATGCATCCAACCAAAGTTCAACTGAAGCTATTTTCTCGAATGATTTAGCGCTGCTCGGAGTGGTTTTCTTCGATTGCGACTGCACGCTGTTAATTAAATTTCACTACCTTGTTTAGTTGATTTTCGTTTCTTTGCCGTTCTGTTTGGATTCGATAAGAGTTTACGAGTAATCTCCGATTTATTGAGGGATTTGGTAGTGTTAATGATCGTCGTGTTTCTGACAAGCAGCTCAGGCCGAGGTTTTCTCTGACTATCCCTATGTGTAAAGCTGCCCCACAGTGAAAGTGTTATTATGATGACTTGGGAGTCCCTAAGCACCAATCAAAACGAATGCCGTGGTGGTGGCTGATTCCCGCTCATCAGTGATATCAATGATGTATTGAGAATGGTTTGGAGGCTCCACAGACTGAAGGATTCTTCACCTGGATCCGGCTTATTTATGTTTCAAATATAACGTGGATGAGAAAGAGCATAATTTGTGATTATCTGGTCAACAGCATTGTGATTCACGTGATATTTACACGGGTATTTCCAGCGGAATTCGATAGAAGAAAGACGAGAAGCAAATAATCAATTTTGAGTGTGTTTCTAAACTGTTGAAACGAAAGTTGCAGAAGTCGTTGAAGCATGACATGATTGAATCCCCTTTCCCGTCTGAACCGGAAAAGTATGTAACGAATTTGTCATTGGCTCAATTGAGTCAAACTGAAATGGAAGCTCTCTCCCTTGGTCTTCCATTTTGCATACCTTTAAGAAAAATCAACAGTTTAGAAACACAATTCCAGTTTAAATACTTTTACCAACAATTTGAACCGTCGGTCTCTTTAACAAAAGACACAAAATGAGCAATTACCAAATGCAACTAAGCCCGTCAAAGTTGGGGGATAGATACAGTTTTACTGTTAGGAGACTGTTAGAAAGCTTTACTGATTAATGTCACAGTTTTGAAAGAAAAGGAAACGATTCAAATGCGGCAAGTTCTGAAAAACTGATGTTGGATATACGAAAAGAGTGCAAGATTGAATAGGCATACAGTATGAACTACTTGCATTTCCTAGACTTACACCCTGTTTCACAGTGATTTATCTGTATACTCCCAAAATAGCGTTTAGAGGCTTTCGATTTCTCTGTTTGGTTATGATCGTTCGAGCTTGCAAATATTGCTCTATCTGTGTGTGTGTGTGTTTTGACACGGGTCTAGTTTGTTCCTACATGACGCTGTACGATTCATGTCCTGGCTCGTGAAAACCCATAACTATTCGCTCAAAGCACTCTGGTTCTATAATTTAGTGCGTGAGCGACGATGGATTAATATGAGATTTTTCAGTACCAATGTCCACTACAAGGGCTCCACAGCATTATGTGTGCTTTCGACATTACGATTCTCCATCTTTGCCTCCAAATTGCTCTGATAGGAAGTGAAACTCGGATAGCCTCGGTAGCGAATCGTAGCTTATCACAGATTTGGCGACTCTGGCATCAAGACAGCTCTGAACCGTAACAGCTACTCTGAGGAACGGGATGCCCCTGAACACCCCAAATCGCTCTTTGGCACTCTGGTCCAACGTCATCTTGCCCTTCTCTCATCTGTCATTCACGCCGGAACTGTACGAACTCAGCCCACCCCATCCTTTTCCTCACCCTCAAAGTTTCACATGGGTGATGATTTCCATCGTTGAGCCCAGGGAGCCCAGGACTATATCGAGCTCTTTCCACCATCTGACCGCAAAATTGCGCTCCTATCCTTCATGGAAGGCGAGACCAATGACATCTTCCGAGACGATGGTGTATTTGACGCACCCATTACCCCAGAAACATTCCAACGATTACGAAACTGCCTCACAGACCGCCCCCATGAAGCAGAACTGGGCCATGAATTCCAAACGCGCATTCAACTACCCGTGGAACACCTTGCCTCATTTGTTCATGCACTTCACCGCCTGTCTCTTGAAGCATTTCCCGAAGTTGACCGCGTCGACCGCACTGCTAAGGTCCTCACACAAATCCTTGTGGGTATGCGGAATCCGCCCGTGAGACTCCAATTTCTTCTCAACCCCTCCACCTAACGTACCGGCAGCTTTGGACACCGCCCGATGCCTCGAACAAGTTGAAGTTGTGCTCGGACGCGATGAGTTACCGGAAATACCAGCACTTGCCCCCGTGAGTGGCCGTCTCCCCCAACGGCCCTTCCGACCTCGGAGTGATCACATTCGTCCGTGGTATCCACCACGCCAGGCGCGCCTCACACTTCGGACGTCGCTCAAAGATTAATATTACTGCCAGAGATTCGGTGTTTTCCTCTCTTTCAGATTGTCAGTCACTGCGCTTTCTAGTTCATTTGAAGTCAATAGAGACCCGTTGTGATTCTCCCCTCAAATGTGGTTGGCCTGTGACCCTGGTAAACAAAAACCAATCACTTACCATTGCGGGATTTGATCGCTCTAGGGACGAACGGGTCCAGGTATGAAGTTTGATGAACAGCATTTTATTTTCAATTCCATATTGGTAACTATTATGTTTACCTGTCAAACGTATCACGTGACTGTGTATTCATATGAGCAATAATGGTTTATGGTCTTCGTATTTCTTTTATGTGACACTTATTTCTCAATAAAACATGTGCCTGTTGTTTAGACTCTAAACACACACATACACACACACACACGTATCAATTAACCAAATTCGCAACGACTGTGCGCGCTGTGTATGTGCGGGGGGGGGGGGGGGGNGGGGGGGGGGGGGGGGGAGGGGGCAGCTGCATGAGTGATTGTGTATGTGCATCTTTGTGTTGCGACGATTGACAGGATGGTACAATATGACAGAACTAACTCACGTTTTCACATTTTCCCCCGAGGCTAGTTGCCTGTGTCAAAATGTTTGTGGGTTCCATGGTTATTCTGCATTTCATGGAATTTACTATTGGTCAAAAATAGCTGTGCTCACCGATTTTCATCTTCTGGAATACTGGGTAGCAAAGGGCCATGAGCCTCTGTTGAATTCCACTCAAATAACCCTGGTCTTCATATTCTATTCAGCTGTTCTTGCTTCTCTCGTTCTCATAAAGTGTGAGCAGTGGATCGTGTTACAACAAGTCGATTGTTCGGAGCGTCAGTTGACTTTGATTTGGACCATTTGAACGTCTGTTCAGCCAGAATTCACCTTGGAAAACGGGAGTATCCTTTTGAAAGAAATGTGATTGGCTCAAGATTGATTTCTAACTAATCCTGTGGTGGCACTGCTGTCAACGGCTTCACGGTTTCACATCCGGAGACAGGGATGTGGACAAGTGTCGGAATAGCGTGCACTACATCATCTACTAATCGCTCCCAGATACAGGCACAAGAACAAGAACGCTTTCCGCTATTTGACTTAGCTATATTTACCGTATCACCAGTTGTGCGCTCCGTGCTCCTACTTTTCAAAAGACATTAGAAGATTTTTAACTGAGAGGAATGAGCTGGAGACCTGTCATAAGCATTCCTATTTCAAAACCGTGTAGTTCCAGCACCCAGTCCAAACGATTCCATCCCTTTTCTCTAACATCATGCTATCTTAAGTTGACAGAACGTGCCATTCTCAAACGCGTATCGGCTTCGTTCACTACCCCAGAAGACTTTCTCCAGTTTGCGTATAAACCAAACAGTTCCACTTTGGACGCTGTCACCTCCCTAATTCATAACGTTATCAAACCCTTGGGCACATCAGTGAAATTATTTATGTTCCCGATGATACAGCCATTGGACAAGACATTTCTGTGCCGGAGGACCTTCTAAATTTCTTGAATAATCTATCGCATATCCACGAATTTTCCGTTCGTTTCTAGACTGTATCCTCTCCGACCCCAATCATCCTTTACATGGCGATCTATCCAAATCCTGCCCTCATTCGTCTACCAATTTTACATATCGATTGTTACCCTCTCGCATCAACCGTTACAGAAATTCCCCAGTTCCCTATCTCGCAAGAACTCTTCTAAACCGACAGCGCGTTTCCTCCGAATATCATAACAGCATTGAAGGTTAAATGTTTTGATGAGATGTGCATTTTTGACTGAAATGCGACATCTGCTCACGCAAAAGTCCATACAAACACAAATTCAAATAAAATACAAACCCTAGATATCCGGAAGGACGCTTTTGTGAAACGTGCGTATTTCCGCACATTATTTCCTATCTCAGGTTTTTTCAATTGATCAAAACCTGATGTGTACATCTCACATGGCCATCAAGTAGAGATGCTGATAGACATTTACCATGGGGCCGGATTCATTCGATCATTCCTTGGTTCGTGCGGTTCACGTACAATGCACAGATTCACGTGATTTCGATGCTTATTGTCTAGCCATTTGCACCAGTTGCCGTTCCGGTAGCCGCATCACGTGATTTTCAATTGGCTCCGTAAAGTATTCGAGTGATTGCACAGTATCCGTGATGGGTTCACCCAGGTAGATATAATACTACTTGCACGTCTGTGAAAACAATAGACATGATGCCACTTACGCCGGATTCCGGTCCCAGGTAACAGTGTGATGAGTCGTGCGGCCGCTTATCGAGTGCCCTATCAAAGCTTACTTGCTTCACAACAGCCCAATGCAATTCTCACCAATCCGTTATTCACCCCGGTCTCAACAGACAGACTGTAACAGACAGAGATACTTCATGTGGAATGAAAACGAACCAGTCTGACAGGTCCATCAGAAACGAAGATACTGAGTAAGGCAAGCTCAAGCCATGAAAACAAAAATATATGGAGATTGGCAATTAATCTGTAACGAACCAGTTCACTTTGCTGATTTCCCATTGGCAATATGGTTTCCTGACATCTGAGAAAATTCTATCATTCGGATTTATAAATCGATGCCAGTAGCCACAGTAGCTACACAACAGGGATATCATCGGTTATGATAACATTACGTAGGAGAGATAGACAAACAAGTGTGCACTCGCCTACACCAGCACATACTTGCACTACGACGCGTTGACCCGAAGTCACACCACTGGAACCACTGAGCGACTACAAGTCACGAGTTCAGAATCGACAACGCAAATGTGGCGTCAAAGGCGAAGAGGAAGGGAGAACGTCCAAACCTTGAAAGGCTGCTGACAATCAACTCATGCCATGAACGCTTGGAAGCCAATAAACATTACGTAACGATTGCTGGACAATCAGGAGCGGGGCAAACAGCGAATCGCAGTCTGCATATATATATATATATATATATATGTATATGCATGATGCGCTTGCCATTTAGGACCACAAAAATGTCACACGAGCCAAGTCGGTACTGAACGGTGGGTGATCCACCTCCTGGATGCGTTCTCCAGCCCGGAAGTAGCCGACGACAGGAGATCCGTGTGCACGTGAGAAGTGCCAAATCTGGTTCCTAATTAGACTGTTCGCGTGCAATAAGCACACGTACGCAATCATTCCTACCTGACACGTTGGCTAAGGAGAATTGCGTGATTTCACCTTGAAGGCATGCATTCAAACGATAAACCATAATTACTACGATTGCTGAGGGGAACCTGTTGCACGGAGTAATGGATGGCAACAGAAACGATGCCGTTTCTTCCAAATTACTACACGTTCGCGTAGAGACGTGCGTTTGACATGCCAGTTTGACTGTCGCTTGCTTTGCTAATGAGAATAGAAAGTGTTCCAGCACCTTAGTAACAAGCGAATGTGTTCAACCTCCAAAGCGTCGATTCGTTTTAGAACGTTTCAATATGGCTCGTCATTTTCTAATCGCTCCCACACTAGTGATCCGTCACACAATTTTTGAGCGCATATTCAGCGCAAAACCTCATGGCGTGCTCAATTAATAAAGCCCGAGAAAAGTACCAAATGGTCAGCGTGAAGAAGGATTTGTTTGCAAGGCCTACCGTAACAGAACTAAGTACTGAAGACAACGGGCTGAACCGATCTGCCATGAAATACGAGCGAGACTGTGAATACCACATTGTGTCCACCAGCATATCTCAGTTCCCCAGAAAGACTCTGCAACACTCGGATTGCGTTAATGTAGAAGTATGGGAAAGGAAAGTGACCAAGCATGAGTGATGAAGTCTACACACAGCAAGATCACGTTTCAACTGAATATTCATGCAATGCATGTGGTTAGGGGATTTGGTCGAGCAGAAAGCTCGAGCCAGTTTCTCGGAAAATGTTGTGATGACTGTCCAGATCGAGTACCTGATAGCCTGCTATAGTAGACCGAATAGGCGCGAATCACATATCACGTTCTATATTCACAAATGAAGCGAGGTGTCGAACTAGCAAGAAACTACGCAAGAAACAGGTCACACAAGCGGAAGCAGAAATTTTGTCCACTATGTTGGCCTTAACAAGTCGACCACGCCGGGTCTCATCACTCTCATCACAAAATATCCTCTAAACACAAAGTAGAGTAGTGATGAAAATCCGAATTTTGATTGGAAATCCATAAAGCGGATCATGGGGATAGGCTAGACTCACAATTAGCGGGTAACCAGACTGAATGCAGAAGTGAGCAATTAGTTTGAGTAATCTACTCAGTTGAAACAAAATCTAAAACACATTTCCGATTGATCAATCTGTCATAAACGTCTCCGTGTTAGATGAGCACACGTACGCAGTTACCCGCACTGCACACGTTTTGTAACCCAGTATAGAAATGTCAGGCGAAATAAGTTCAGCCACGCAATATTATTATTATTGTTATATCAAGTGTATATAGCGGCGTTTGTGAGAATGTATTTAGGCGATAAACCAATCAACATCATTCAAATCAATCAAAAGCTGAGCTACTCCGCTTTTGGGGATCACGTCATTGAAAAGATAACGGTGAAAAATAACCGATTCCCATCCGGAACGAATACTTACGAAACAAACCCACATGAGTTTTTAGTACCGAAAACAAATAACCGTTTATGCACAGTCATCAGTGTTATCAAAGATATACAAACTCGTTTCATGATTTGATGAAAACAAGGAATGAACGAAATGCATGTGCCGGTCAGTTTGAAAGCTGGAAGGGCCAAAGATGAGATGAGCGGCGCTCACATACGAATATGGTGCGATGTGACGCCGGGAGATGGAAAATATCAAAGCATGAGCTTAGTGCGGTAGGGAAGCTTGGCGCTTCCCACTTCCAGTAGTCTTGTATTTGTGAAACACGATGGACAAAGAATGCAGTATGGATGCATATGGATTAAAAATATATATATATATATTTTCTCGAATACAACTTTTGTGATTGCGTTATACCCATAAAGCAAGCCTCACAGATCTTA